AAAGAACTAGAAGAGCGAAACTTGTAGATGAAGAGAAGTGTTTTTGCTTTTTTAGAATAAAACCAATACGAATCGGGAATGTCCGACTACTGTATACCGTGTAAGCTGTAAAGAGCCTTCGATGACCTCTTCATTTACTTTTTGCTTGTACAGGCTGAACTTTCGTACTCGAACATTCCTAATAAAGTTTTTAGTGGTAATATTCAAATGTAGGTTTACACCAAAGTTCAAATCTTTAGTAATTGAAATGGAAATACAGTCGACTCTCGTTATTTCGAAATTCAAGGGACTCTTAAAATATTTCGAATTGTCGAGTGTTTAACCATATGAGTACGAATTACCGCGTCTTAGCAATRATTTTTAGTTCGAATTACTGAGTGATAACTTTGAATTAATGAGAGGTTCGAAATAACGCAGGTTTGAAATAACAAGAGTCGACTGTATTTGTGATCAATTATGAGGCCAAATGCTACTTCTAGCCTTAATCTAAAATATTTATCTATTTGAATTGCCCAGATACCGAACTGGCAGTCTCTAGCTTGGATTTGATTCAAGTTAAGGCCGATAAGATCCATCATCGTTACTAATTCGATGAGTTATCGATAAATATATACCTTTCAATTATCTAATCTCTAGTATTCATGAGATTATCAAGATGGTTAGGCAGATCCACACGGTTTGCCTATCCTAAGAGCATGCCTGAAACCCTACGCAGAGTTGTCTCTTATATCAAACTCCATCATGGAGAGCAAGCTGAGTGATTCACAAAGCTCGTCTTCCCACTTGGTTGATGGGCTTGCCAACGCCTTCCACTGTCTGCTATACACAATATTGGCACAGCAACCAATATGCTCTATGCCACCCACTCTATATATTGACTCACATGAAATCAAAGAGATCTTTGAATACTTCCCCACTCACTCGCACTAAAACTAGCATATCTGCTAGTCGGATACTTCCGACATAGACTGTCATATCCACTCATATATACATGATGATATACACCTCTGTATTCGCACAGCCAAACCTACTCATACTAGCCGTTATCAACGTTAGCTTCTCTGCCAGTCGGATACTCCCGACCCGTACACCCTTACCCTCTATTTGCATGCACTTAGAGATACCCTTGCAAGGTATGCAACAGCAATTGAAATTGTTTGTTTGTCGGCTGCTTTTGTTGTTGTTGTTGCTGTTCTCGTTGGGGCAGCAGTTGTTGTTGTTGTTGTTGTTAAGTAAAAACTGGCTCGCTTGTTTGCCCGGCTGCAACAGTTGTTGCTGCGGCTGCTGCTGCTGCTGCTGCTGCTTATCCTACAAATGCCAATCCGCAGCGCCAACCAGTCCCCAACTTCGTCCGTCCGTGCGTCCATCCGTCCAGACTGTTAGAAATGCCGTCCGAGGCGGCCAACTGGCTGGGCAACTGCAATTGGGATTGGGACTGGGACTGGGCCGCTGGGCGTTCAACTGGTTGCTGCTTTATTTCTTTATACACACACATACTCGTTCAGCAGGTGAGCAACGCGAGTATATTGGTTTTGTTGCATTTCCTGGAGTGCTCAAGCTGGTTAGCCATATTCGAGTTTTCAGCATCGTCTTGGGCAGTCATCAGACTTGATTTTATTACGTTCACAATAGAAGCTGACTATAGGCTGGACGTTGGCTAAAGACTAGGAGTCCAATATCAATTGATAGACGTGTCAAGCTTATGAAGCCTTATACCATAGGGAACTCTACATTTCTTAGGGTGAGTTCTGTTAGACCTCCTCTATAGACTTAACCTTGGGGCGTTGCAGTTCGAAAGAAAAACTTTGTTTATATTTACTTATATCATTCTTTGTATATGTCCCCCACATCTGTAGGACAATCAACTCTTAACTTAAGATCTATAAAATTGAACTATTTCCAATTTGAACGGGCATTATGCAGTCAGGTAAGTCCATTCAGTATCTGATTTTCATTTTCGCTGCCTTTTTGCCGGCAGTTTTGAATTACAAAAGGAGCCTTTTTATGGGGCCGCCTGCAACAGTAACTGCAACTGCAACAGCAGCAACTGCTGCAGCAACAACATTTTTTATAATTTCAATTTTGTGTATCTGTGAGATACGATGCAACGTGAATTGGCATTTTGTATTATGCATTCTATACCCTGCATAACATGGTAAAAATGGGGTAGCTGCTTGCTCAGTTGGGGCTTGAAGTCAGTTCCATTAGATTATACATATATAATGAATCTATGTAATAAATATGTTTGCTATAGGGAGTACCCACAGTACTCTGACTTGTGCCATGCCAAGCATTAGTTAGACAAAGGTTTAATAAGTTTCTTACGTGTGAAGTTTATATCCAAGTCGGAAACCCTATCGTTTTCATATTCCCTTACCAAGCCATTTCCGTATATGGCAAACATTGCTAAGATTTCTTATTGGAATGCATATTAAGTCCTTATTGCCCTAACGATATGTGTTCATATAGGATCATTTTTATTATCAGGAAAGTTTCTCTTATTCGCTCATTTCCAGCCTCAGCTCTATGGCTTACTTAACTGCCAGGCCATAGTAATTCCTTTAACTCTGATTTCACTTCTCAGATAAACTCTATTAAATATTATAGACTTTGAGGCCCACACAAAATCTTTCCATGCTACTTTTCGCTATCAACCGAACTCACTTTATCTCCTTCTCCCTCAATTAAATATAATTTAATTACAGGGTATTTGTTAGGTTCAGCTTATGCATTCGGACCACTCGCAATGTTTGTTTTATGCATTTTGCAATACTGCAAAATACCGCAATTTTCTGCAGTGTGACCAGAGCATCACAGCAGTAACTCCAACGCCTGGTAATTAAAATACAATTAACAAATTGATGATAATGATGATGGTCATAATGATGAAGCTGATCGTAATGAATGTTGATGTTGATGATGACGAGTGGCCAGGAAATGCAATTAACCGATTGGCCCACAAGTCGCCAAACGCCATTCGAAAGTCTTTTGCCTCGCGCTTAACACTGATTGAATCTGTATGTGTGAGTGAGTGAGTGTATCTGTGTGTGTGTGYGCGCTGCTGAGTGCAATTGCATAAGCTTGTCTTTAACTTCGTCAGCCGCCAGGCGTTTCATGCCAAGCGCGCCATCAATCAGCCAATAACTCAATCATAATCAATTTGCCACGCATGGAAAGTGGGCAGCCTACAGGCGGTAGGCGTGGCGCAGAAGAACTTTCTAGTTGCTTGAACCCAATGTGGAGCAAATCATTAGACACGATGACAGTAGCAAAAAAAAAGGAAAATGAAAAACAGAAAAAAGCCCAAATTATTTTGTATTTAATAAAGTTTTATAATTGAAGGCCGCACGCAACGGACGCGAAATTGGTGTCGCACCGTTAGGCGGCTTAAGACATCCGCAGGCAAACGATCTGGCAACGCCATGGCTTAACAATAGCAAAACGTAAACAAACAAAGGCATCAAATTACAAGTGTTGTAAAATTAGCAAAGGGAGTTGTGTCTGTGTGTGTATGTTTGTGTTTTTTGCTTGTGTTTTTCTTTACCTCATTTGTGTGTGGGTCGCTTAGCAGAAGAAGAGAAGCACGCCCAACAACAACAACAACAATAGCCAAGCGCTACTGCAATTGGAGCGCAGCGAGCGACGCGCGAAATTCTCGAGTTGCAAAATGAAAACAAAAAAATAAAAGGCTGTTGTTGTTGCTGTTGGTGTTGCTTTGTTTTGTTTCGTATTTGTAATTGTATTTTTTTTCGGCTTAATTCTGCTGCTGTTGCTGGCCAGTGCACTTTACACTTTTGTGGCTTGGCTCTTCAGGCTTCACTGAGTGCGCAGACACACAGGTGCATTTCGCTGCATAGCAACATATTTTGCGTTTTCGATTTCGATTTCGTTTCAATTTTTATTTACAGGAATAAAAAAAAAAACACACATTTTCAGCACATTTCACTCACAGAGAGGAGCACATTGAACCTTGCGTTTCAAAAAAACAAACTAAATTTTAATTTTAGCGTACGTATGTTATTTGAACAGCCGGCGCGCGTACTCTAAGGCAGCAGAACACACAACAAAATGTCGAAAACAACAATCAAATAAATGCGTCGTCAACAACTCGAGCGCACGAAGATCAGCGACAAATTGAATGTTCAACTCAACAGTGTGACCTTGTTGTGCCGTTTACAAAATACTATCTCGACTACTGAAATAATACTGGACAGTCGTCAGTTTAGGCAACTATCGACTAGTTCTATTCGTTTAGTTCGATATTATTTTGGTATTTTTGATTGGAAAATTCGCAATGACTCTAAAACTTTTATAGTAAAACAAGTTTGTGGATAGCATTAACGTTGAATTATATATTTCTATGATATATGTAGCACTTTTATTGAGTATATGTATAAATCAATTGCTGCAAGTTTTATGTGTATGATTTTAATTTGTATAGAAAAAATTGATAAGTTTAAATTTTGAATATAGGATACTTTCCGCGCAGCTGGTATTGTTTATGTTTATCGATAGTAGCGATATTTATTCTTGTATCAATCGAGTATATACAAGTGTGACGGGTCACGGCAACAACAGCTGTTAGTTACCGCTGTTGTGCCACAATATTTTTTTTGTTGTATTTCATAATAATTTTGATATAGTATTTAGTTCGCTGTGCTAAATTAGCCTTAAGCTGTATTAAATAACAATGCAAACGACTCGCAATTTATGCAATCTGACCCGCTACATCCTGCGGCGCACAGTTGCGACAACTGCTAATGACACAACGGGCTCCGCTGGCGGCGGCGCCGGTGGCTCGGAGCAGACAACACATTTTGGCTACCAGACGGTCAAGGAGAGCGAAAAGGAGCGCAAGGGTAGGGGTAGCAAATATATATTTATCCATATGAAGTACACTTAACGCCATAATTCGCATAGTACACGAGGTGTTTCAGCAGGTGGCCCAGTCGTACGATCTGATGAACGATGCCATGTCCATGGGCATCCATCGTGTGTGGAAGGACATTTTTGTGGAGCGCCTGGGACCGGAGCATGGTATGCGTCTGCTGGACATGGCCGGCGGCACGGGCGACATCAGTTTTCGCTATCTGAAATACTTGGCCAAGATGCCAAATCCAAAGCAGCGGGAAAGTCATGTAACTGTCTCCGACATCAATCAGCACATGTTGAATGTGGGCGAGGAGCGTGCCCGCCAGCTGGGCCTGACCGCTGATCGGCTGCCCAATGCCAGCATTGCTTGGCAGTGTGCCGACGCCGAGAAGCTGCCATTCAAGAGCGACACCTACACTGCCTACACGATTGCCTTTGGCATACGCAACTGCACGCACGTGGACAAGGTGAGCGCATAGAGCGAAGATTACATGGACTACGGCTTACTAACCAGCACTCTGTGCCGTCTCCTGTAGGTGCTCAGCGAAGCCTATCGCGTGCTGCAGCCTGGCGGGCGATTCATGTGCCTGGAGTTCAGCCACCTGACCAATGAGACAATGCAGTGGCTCTACGACCAATACTCCTTCCAGGTGATACCGCCCATGGGCCAGCTGCTGGCTGGGCAGTGGCATGCGTATCAATACCTCGTGGAGAGCATACGGCGCTTTCCTCGCCAAGATGAGTTCAAGAGCATGATCGAGCGGGCTGGCTTCTCCCACGTCTCCTACGAGAATCTAACCTTCGGCGTCGTTAGCATCCACTCGGGCTTCAAGCTGTAGGAAACTGTTGTTGCTCGCTGCTCGCTGCCCGCTCTCTACGCTCGGGCATGCCAAACACGTTCTCCACGCGCTTATTTTTATGGTTTCCTTAAATAATAATAATAAAAACAAWATGTATAAACCTTGTTAACATATAATATGTATGAATTTATTGTAAGCTCGTCCAGCTTGGGAAAGACCTTGACTGGGGTTTTCCATTTTAGCTCGATTCCAATCGTCGATTTTCCAAAAAGTGAAAATGTTGACTCTAATTGAAAGTTTATTTCAGATTCAGATAAGTGTGTGTGCGAGTGTGCGTGTGTGTGTGTGATATAATGTCAATTGCCACGCCTTCATTATGAGCTGAGCTCGATCAAATTTAGTGCAAGTGAAATTTATGCGTGTGAATGTTGAATTTTAACTAAAGCAAAGCGAACAAAAAATAACTAACGAAACAATAAAGTCAAAATCAAAATCGAATCAAGCTAATTAACAGTTCATCGAAGTACTTCAATTGCTATTTGTTTTCTTCTTCCTCCTGCCGTCTCGCATTTCGTTTGCATTTGCATTTGAAATTGGCTTTCGCCTCCCCAAACACAGCAAATTGGCAGCACTCTGCGCGGCTTGGATTGGCCCAGTTTCTGTTGGTCTGCCATCGATGGATGGGCTGCACTTTGTGATGTAACCGGGTCATAAAAGGCTTCGACATCGACATCGACATCGCCAAAGCCATCAAAATGGCCCAAAAATATTGAGTGAATAATATCGGCTGTCATTGCAGCGCGCCTGAAAGTGAAAACAACAACAATAAGAAATGCGGAACATGCTAAATGAAAACAAAAGTTGTTTCGTACGTGCAGAAACGTGCCAGCGCCACAGGTGGGCAGACAGTGGGACAGCACAGGTAGACTGTGGCGCAGACAGACCTGCCCACCCCCTCAACAGGCGGTACAGTGGTTATGAAACAGAGGCAATGAAGGAGTGAGACTCTGAGTATAGGGAATGGATGGAATAATGGCAAGGCAATGTGAGACACTTTACAAACGGAACAGTTGGAAATGAAACACTACTTTGAGAATTTCCTACAATATCGTTTTAGTTTACTCTTCTAGTCAATGAACTCAACACCTTTTACAATCTAACAGTTGATGAAGAATTTAGGGAACAAGTGGAAAAGGAACACATTATTATAAAGCTGTCAGAGTGTTTTGTAGTAATTACTATAATATAGTTAGTGTGTAGAAATCATATACTATGTAATTTACTATTGAAACGAAATGGTATTGGAACAGTGAGTAAGCATTATTAAGAAGCAGTTGTAGTATCATTCAATGGTATGCTAAAATATTAAATTTGTCGGTGTTCAGTGAAAACACCTTGAGAAACAAATGGAATCGAAGCATAACTTTATTTTCCAAAAGTAATGAGAGTTAGTGAATGATAATAGGATAATATTGCTATACAGATTTCTGTGAATATCAATTTTAGTATATGTCAGCAAAGTGAAACAATTGGAAATGGAACTCTGGAACGTGATAAGTATTTAAGGAAACAAAAAGCATGTAAGAATCACTTACCATTTATGTGTATGAATTTATTTAAGAGGAACAAATGGAATTGGAACAGAGACGCCCCTACAATCAAAATTAAATAGAGAATAATCAATTATAAATATATTTTAGAACATACTATGTGCACACTAATGTATATGCGTATGTCAATCAATTGGGACAAGTGGAAATGAAACACTGAGCTAAATAGAAATTGTAAGAGTATATTGTACTGAGTCCAAATGGAATGATAATTTCAATAGTAATATATCCCAATGTGATGTATTTTTGTTTGTTTTGTTTACAGAGAAAATCAGTTGCGTCCCACTGTGCGGCATAGATTGTGGCGCTCGGCGCGGTGCGTGAAACGGTATCTGCTCGGCGATAGCATAATGAGCCCCTGTCCGGCCAGGTGAAATGGACGCGTAAAAGTCATAAACTGCCCAATTGCCGCTGGCCATGCCGATGAGCAGCGTGTGGTGCGTGGTGCGTGGTTAGTGGTTCGTGGTGCATTTGATGGTACTTGGTATGCAGATGCGGTGGCTCGATGGCTAGCTGTTGGCCATTGCACGTCGATATCCGCTTTATAAATACAACAAACACCAAGGAAGTTCATTTCATTTTCTTGGCAACAATCGACGCGTTGACATAATCCAACGCAGACGCCAATACGGATTACCCCAAGCACAGTGGAACTATAAATACATATATATATATCTCCCCACTCGTATATACATCAGCCTGATGAGTCGCCGTTCGAGTGTGATTTGTGCCAGGAGCAGATCTGCGCACCTGCAGCTGCTCTTGCTCTGCGCTGTGCTGGCCAGCGGCAGCATTGCCCAAGCGGCGCTGCGCCTGCGCCACTCCAGCCGCCTGGCCAGCACCACGCCCACTACTGTGGCCACCACTAGCACCAGCAGTAGCAGCAGCAGCGGCAGCAGCAGCTCCAGCTCCAGCTCCAGCTCCAGCTCGATAGCTGAGGCTGATACCACGGAGCAGCAGCTGGAGGAGACGGCATCTGTGGCCGAGGAGCCGCAGCCAGCACAGCCAGCCAAGCACAAGCGCGGCATACTCCATGGCGCTGCCGGCCATTGGCCAGGACGCACCTATGCGGCCCAGTATGGCTACAGCCTGCAGCTGCCCGCGGCGACGACCTTTCTAGCTGCCGCGCCTGCCCATCGCCATCATGGCTTCATCAAGTACCCCGCTGGCTACCACATCAAGCAGTTCGCCAGTGCCCTGCCCGCTGGCCTGCTGCCCGGTGCTACAGCAGTCTCGGCTGTGCCCGCCGTGCCCGCCCTGCCCGCCGTGCCCGCTGTGCCTGCCCTGCCAGCTGTGGGTGCCCTTGGCCCTGCGGTGGGTGCCCTTGGTCCCGCTGTGGGCGGCATTGCCTCCACCGTGGCTGGCGCACCCTCGTATGTCCTGCGTCCGGGCAACGCTGTCGTCTCCTCCTACAGCGTCAACTATCCGCATCAGCACCTGCACAGACCCCTGAAGCCCCTCCACTACCATCACACCCTCCAGGTAAGCTCGCCAGCTGCAAATGCCCTCAGCCACCCTTGATCTAATCTCTGCGAAGCCTTCCTATATACAGACTGTCGCACCTGTGCCCGCTGCTCCAGCAGTGCCCATACAGCCCGTCCAAGCCATTCAGCCCATACAGCCCGTTCAACCCGTTCAGCCCGTTCAACCCGTTCAGCCCGTTCAACCCGTTCAGCCCGTTCAGCCCTTCCATCCTGGCTTCACTTTTGCCACTGCCGAGTTTCCAGCTCCGCCTGTGCCCACATTCGTGCAGCAAGCCTTTCCCGCTGTTCCAGTTGCTCCCACCACTCCGGAAGTTCCAGTGATACCACAGGCGCCACAAGTGCCACAGGTGCCACAGGTGCCACAAGTTCCACAAATCCCGGATCTGCCGCAATTCCCACAGCTTCCACAGCTTCCAGCGTTCCCGCAGTTCGGCAGTCCGCAATTCCCCTTCCCGCAGATCCCACAATTCCCTCAGGCGCCTAGCACACCCGCTGTTCCGGCTGTGCCCGCCGTTCCCACCACGCCAGCTGCGCCCGCCGCTCCCGCCACGCCCGCCATACCCACCGTGCCCGCCTTTCCCGGCGCGCCCGGCATTCCACCCAACAGCCAGTTCTTCCCGGCCGCCGTGCAGCCACCGCTGCCACAGCAGCCGCCCAGCTTCGGACAGCCGGAGGCGCAGTCTCCGGGCGGCATAACCCCGCTGCCTGGATCGACGCCCGTGCGGCCGGACACTGGCACGGCCATTGCCTCGCCGCAGATACCCAACACACCGGAGTCGGAGCAGCCCGAGCAGCCGCAGCCCTCGCCACAGCCCGGACAGCCGCAGCAGCCGCAGCCGCAGCAGCCCTGGAGGCCGGTCTTCTATCAGCCGCCAGCCACGCCCGGCCGCCCATCCATTACCCTGCTGCCGCCGTACGGCAGCATGCCAGCTGAGGGTGAGTCCTAGACGAATGCTCAGAGCTATCCGTTTTGTTTCTATATGCAACGCCTTTCTATGCACTTCTCAGGCTATCTGCCGCCCGTGGGCACGCAGGCCGCCCAGCTGACGTCCGCCAGCGCCGGCCAGGGCGCCCAGGATGTCTTCGATCAGCTGAGCAACGCCGAAATCGAGCACATCTTCGCCCAGGCGAATCTCGCACATCACAATCACCAACAGCAGCAGCGCTATCAGCACTACTGACTGCGCTGCTGACGTCATCGATCAGCTGTTGGGCTTCATCTTGTCCACGAATTTTCTATAGAATTTTTTTTGTTTTTTTTTTTTTTTCATCTATGATAATCTTTCCATATGCTATACATATATTTAAATTATTATTAAATAAGTTATTTATCAAAAGTTGAATTGAGTTTTAATTGCGAGAATCGCCTCTCTATGCAGTTCTCAAGAAATTAATGTTGCCTTGTCAGTGGTGTTATCAATGATAATTTATCATAGAGCTGGAATGATCCTTGGGTTATTCAGCGAAGGTCTTCTGTAAGTATTAACTCTCTCTCTCTCTCTCTCTCTCTCTCTCTCTCTCTCTCTCTGCGTATCTCTCTGTATCTGTCTCACTCTCAATACCTCTTTCTGTTACTTCTCCTTGTCTGTCTCTCTTTCTCTCCCTCTTTTACTCGCTCCTTCTTTCTCCTTTTTTTTGCTCTCTAGCTGTATATCTCTGTCTCTTCCTTTCTCGTTTTATTTTTAGACAAATACATATTTCTATCTCTCTCTCTCTCTCTGTATTTCTCTCTCTTACTCTCATTACATCTCTCTGTCATTTCTCTCTCTCTCTCTCTCCATCCATGTCTCCCTCTCCCTTACTGCCTCTCACCAAGTCTCGCTCTCTCTTACTCCATCTCTCTTCCTCTCTTTCTATTTGCCCCCTCCATTACTCTCTCTCTCTCTCCCTCTCTATCTCTATCTTACTCTCTATCAGTCCCTGTCTTATTCATTATCTCTTTTCTCTTTCTTTCTTAGTGTCATATATTTATCCCTCTATCATTCTCTCTCCCTATCTATATCCACTCTTTCACTCGTCTTTGGATCTATGTCTCCATATTTTT